TTTGTCCGCCGATTAAACCCGATAAATTTGAGGACGCTTCCTTCTCCACGCGTCATTCGGTCCACGCGCCGTCGGAAGAAAATAGGACGCGGTCGACGTGACGTCGATGAGGAACCGGCCAGGGGCAATCTCACTAAACAACGTCTGCTCTTTCCGGTTTCTTCCCGTTTGCCTACTTTCGTCGCGAGGTTTCACTTTTTAGCGGTATAAGAAAGAGCCGATCGGAGCCGCGTCGGCTCTTCACGTGAAACAGAAGTCGTCGACACGACTCCGTTTAGCGGAGTCACGCCTTCGGCGCTTCACTTTTCCTCGATTGATCGAGACACTTTCGCACGCTTGCCAAACACACGGATTACTTTGTGTAAAGGCACTTGCATCGTTTGATTTTTAATTTTGAACCACCCGTTTGAATCTTTTTTACATTTTTATATAGAGCAAAAAATGTATGCGTGTATTTTGATTTGAATGAAAATTTAGAAAAATTCACATGGATATCTTTATGGGTATTATTTTTTTTTTTTTATATAAAAGATGTATATTATTAAAGAAATGTACGTTTTCTGTTTTTCAACGTGTAAAATTTGATTATCTCAAATTGCAAAATAACAAAATTTAAAAAAAAAATGTTGCATGACCTGATTTTGCTTAAAAATATATGTTGATATAAATGACTGAAATAATGTCGATGGGAAAATGGAATATTAATAGTAAAATAAAATTAATGAACAAAAATAATATTAGTGGAAAATATATAGAAAATATATAATAAAGTTCGGTTTATGTATGGAATATGTATGAATATTATGACATATAATTCTAGATTTTTTTCACGCGCGAAAGTTACAATCAGCTGTTACGTATTTTTTCTTTCGAAACGTAACGCCGTCCGAAAGTAAACGCGGCGAAAGTAAAAAGGCGATAGTCCAATTAAGAAACACATATTAGTCGACACACATAGCCGGATGTTTATTAAATGTTACATTTTGTTTGCGTTACAAAATGTTGGTAGATGTATAAAAAATAATTTTTAACGTTTTCTAATTTGCAATATATTAAAAAGATAGATCGTTGTGACGCCAAAGAAAAAATAAATTGGTATCACAACATTTATAAATATTAAAGTGTATATCATATGTTTATTTATTTATTTAATTATCTGTCTATTACTAATATTCAAATATTTTTATAACGTTGATAAAATATTCTAATTGAGCTCTCCTACAAGTTTTAATTTAGAATTTATATTTGCAAGGGAAAAGCTTCATTTATGTATATTTAAAATGAATGTTCATCTGTTTACATGTCCCGATGCATTGTTTTAAATCCGTACTTGAAACAATTTAAGCGAGATACCAGTCTACGTATCTTCTTTCCCCCCGAAAGAAGAATGCGAATTTCTTCGCAAACAGGAACTCAAGAGGAAACCTGACGTCTGCCGTTCAGGTAGAGATCTTAAGTGGGTCAGGGTTTGCCTTCTCATGGCAACATTCTCGCGATAATGAAATACCAACGTTTCAGGGAAAGTTATTGTAAAAGTAAACAGCAACAATTTGCGAAAAATCGCGATAGACGAGCGGTTTCATGCATGACTATCCCGCGTGAGAAAATTTTGTTATCAAAGTGCAAGAGAAATTGATAAGACTCTTAAAATAAAAATATACAAATGGCTGACGAGAGTCAACGCGAAAGGTGATGCGCAAAGGTCAGTTATAAGCTCAGACAAATTCAAAAAGAAAAAATTTTTTGTTGTCTTCGATCGATGGTCCCTCACCTGCTGATCATCGACGATCATCGCATTTCTGAAGGAGGATCGAAGCGAAGGAACTCGAACGAACACGAATAAACAACGAAGTTACTGTAATGGAAGGGAGTCTAAACAAGTCGACAAGCGCGTGTTGTGTCCGCATCTCAAAGGAAAAGAGTTCGTCGCACTCGTGTTCGTGCTCGTAAAATGTCTGCTCGTGATCGTGCGTCCTTGCTAGCCAAGCCGGAGTCTAACAGCCGGACTATCCATCTTAAAGCAACGACCGGGAAAACATCTCTTCTTAATTGCCCCCCCCCCCCACTTTCACCCTCCGCGAGCTTGGGGCCTGTTCATCACCGTTGTGGCATTCGCGAATTTCACGAACCTCGTGCGAGAGGAAAGGTGAAAGGCGCGCTGTTATCCCCGAGGTAAACATTGTCGGAGGAAAGCATTACACCGTTTACAACGCCTGAACGGCCCTCCCCCCTCCCCATTCG